GGAGACGCGGGGGGCAGAGCAGCTCCAATGGTCCGGCTGCCCGGAGCACTTCCGGGTTCCTGATGGTGCCGGACCATCAGGAGTGCTGGACCAATGGAGTTTTACTGTATTTTGAAACCACTCCCCTTATTCCAAACTAATAAGGCGAGCATCCACACTACCAAACCCATTATTTCAAAATAATGGGCTTTTTATTTCAAAATAATAACTCCTGCTTGTGAATAGGAATAAGCTTATTTTGAAATAGTTATTTCGGGAGTTTTTATTTTAAAATAACCTGATAGTGAGGACATAGCCCTAGGTAGCTCTCTACCTGTTATGTGAGCCACATCCAAACTCTCTCTCTCTCTATATATATATATATACACACATACACACACACACGTACACTATCTGTATGGCCCTGAGCATGTCACATGGTCCAAGCTGTGGGCTGTTTGTGCCACAGGGCTGAGAACCACTGGCCAAGGCTGTAGTGGGCTCATGAATCTTTATGACAGGGCTACTCAACTTTGGAAGCCCCAGGGGACACAAAGATACAGCACATGCTGAGGGCTGCAATTTAAGTGTGGTTGCATTTGCATGCAAATATATATGCAAATTATTTTTTTCACACTGACAGGCTTGAATACAAAGATTAAGCCTTAAGTTGCAGCACTGAACCCAAACATAGCTAGTATGAGCCAGTCAGCACCTCTCAGGCTCTGCCCACAAGGCTAAGCAGCCAGCACCTACAATGTCCCAGTGCTCCCAGCACCTCCTCCCTGAGGGCTAGAACCGCCAATACCCTGTATTGTTCCAGCCAGCCCATCTGCTTGCATTTTTCAAGCTCACCCTGCCTGGGAGACGCCTCACTGTTGTGCTGCATGTTCCCAGTGGAGGCCATGTTCAAAGAATCCCACCTGCAGGCCACGTGTTGAGTACCCCTGCTTTATGGGCCTACTCACCACCAGAGAGGGACAGAGCACCACTTCCAGCAAGCAGGGGTTACATGGACATTTATTTCCACTGTATAGAGAAGCTTTCTGTACATATTTCAGTGAGGCACAATCTCCCTCATACAAATCGTTCCTGCAGCCTGAGAGCAAAAGCTACTGGTCTGTTAGTCTGCAGAGGGAGAATACACATTATGATGTTAGAAAAATATTAAGTGTTTGCCAATATTGTAGCAGATGTTACTGATCACAGATCGGGGTGTCCACATATAACTTTTAAAATGATTTTTCCTGCCTCAATTTAATCAGAGGCAGAGGCATCTTAAACATATTGGAGGGTTTCTGTCAGGTGGTGCAACTCCCCCAGTGGACACACTGCCATTTAGCGCTCCCAGTGCTTGCTACCTCCAGTGGCCACTATGACTATAGCGTCCATCTGAATAGCCCCTCCCTTTCCATTCCCTGCATATCTGGTTTTCCTGGCACAACCAAACCCTGACTGTGCTTTAGGTTAGGAGAAGAGGAAGCCATATACCAAATTTGGTGTTCCTAGCTCTTACCATTTAGGAGGAGTTCTTGAAAAAACAGATAGAGATGCAGAGACAAACTGTCTCCAATATATAGTATATAAGTATTCATACATACGCAGCACGTATGTGTATTTACTAGATACAATGCTACATGCTATAGTTAGCTGTGCTATACACAGCACTTCTCAGTTATTATACTGTACCTATCAGGACTGTATCTGAGGACCAACATACACAAGAATCTATTTATCTAGAGAGGCAATGCTAGACAAGATGTGTTTTTTATACGTCACATTACAGTAATGTAAGCACAGGAGGGAGTTTAACTGTTTTGTAAAACCATGTGCATGATTTCTTAGTCATTACACATTATAAGCAGAGCTGGTTGTGCCACCTATAGATAAGGTTGTTTGTCACTTTCCATTATAAAATTTTGTTTTCACTTATAATTTTGCCAAGCTTTAGCTGTTTGAGTGGATTTTTTCCACACTTCAGGCTGATTTAATTTAATTTAATTTTGTGTTTGTTTCCAAGAATAAGATTTGTTTCATCCATTAAACAAATTCGTATGTGTTTTATTCAAACACTCCTGCACCCTCGTGCTTTGAAGCAGCTTTGAAATTTTCTGGGAAAGTCACCCTGGTGTGAGATGTGTGCCTTTAGCCTTTCTTATCAAATCTGCCCAAACCTGTCAAGCTATACGCCTCTGAAAAATCTCAGTTCACACATGCTCAGTAGAGACTTTATTAGTGATTGACAACTAAATTCCCTGACAATTCCATCAACGCTGAACATGCTATATCCTGGAGCTGCATTGATTGAACAAAACTTTCCCTCTCTGCAACTGCTGATCCAGTAGGTTCAGGTCTTAAATCTAAGAACAGGGAGACTCTCTCCCTCTCTTCTCTGATTTCAATGTCCCCCTTCTGGTTCACAGGCAGCATGGAGGAATGAAGAAAGGACAAGAGCTGGAAAAACAAGGACTGGCAGGGGAAGGAGACTCTGACTGGTAGTGTGAGGAGACTGCGGTTATATGAGGTAGAAATTGGGACTGGCTGGGCAAGGAGACATGGAGCCAATGTGGGGAAAGACTAAGACTCTACAGCCAGGTGGGAACTGGAACAAATTGCCTCAATAGGAAACTGGGAGACAGGGTTGGAGAAAGATTGGAACTGGGATGAGGAGTTCGGAGATAGGAGACTGGGATAAGAAGTATGGGGAGTAGAGACTTGGATAAGGAGTTGAGACACAGGACTGGTTTGGGAGACACAGTGATAGTAGCACTAAGAACACTCACCTGCGGAAATTGAAATGGAACCCAAGATTTCCCACCATTCCTCTGTTATCAGCAAATATCTATGAAATCTACTGAAACAACAGGTATCTTATCACCAGTTAGTGCTGGTTCACACAGAGGTGACAACATATTATTAGTATCAATTATTCCCTTAGCTAAAGTGGCAGAGATCATTGCTGTGGATCTAAAGGTTCCAGTCATGAGCCAAGAAGGGGTCAATATGAAGCCACATGATAGAAGTCTTGTTTTTTCAGATTGCTTTTTTTTTTAAAGTTATCTGTACAATGTTAATTCAGTTCTTTTGTTCATATGCATTATGCTAAATTTTAATTACGTAATCACATACTATTTTTCCACTTGAGGCTTAAGGACTGAATTTTTATCACTAAAACTATCATTGAGAGCTGCACTTTGAGCATATAAAATGCTGTCCAAATATATTTCTCTGCCCTTAGGAGTCTCAAACGAGGCATCCAAAATTAGTGGATTCCCCTTTTATCTTAATTTCTGTGCCTGCATTCCATATCTGTAAAATGGGGATAATGCCCCATTACCAGGGTATCATGACAGTACAAAGTTTGTGAAACATTCAACTACAGCAGTGAAGAGACCCATACCAAAAAAAAAAAAAAAATAAAAAAATTGTGTGCTGTAAATAAAAAATGGGACCATTAATACTGAACAAGAATAAAACAAAACACCAAAAAAGTTGCTTCAGTAGAGTATTTGCTGGTCGGACTGTGAACCAAATGCTGGTATTTCCTAACTTTTGAGTGCTTGACTTTAAAACCTTAACATTCTTTTAACACAATTTGTAATTTTACCTACAGTGAGCATTTAAGCATAAATCTCCTAGCTTCTTGCTCATGTACACGACTATACAATAATAATTTTGAGATTAAAAGAGGGCATGCACGAAGTCTAGAGTATTGTAGTTTTACCAGCTATTAAGGAGGATTTTAATAATACATTGAACTCCTTTTGTAGAATGGCATGGGAACCAACAACATCAGAAACAGCTGACTTTGAGCTCTATAGAAATGAGGAAGAACATGCTGGGATCAGTATTGTGCCCAGGAAAGTAGATTCTGGGGATATTCCAGTTCTTTGTTCAATATGTCAACAAGCAATATACCCACATCAACTTTTTTATCATAAAAAAGAGCACAAAGCCCTTGCTCTTCTGGGTTATCGTCATCCATGGATTGAAACAGACCCCAACAATCTTTTACTTCGGAGACAGCAATTAATTTCAAGACTGCTCAAGTCTTCTAAATACACTGAAAGAGACAAACAGAAGATTGATTGCTCATTAGAGCTACTTAAGAATAAATCATATTTTCACGTTGATAATATTGTCGACAGTTCTGGATACCTCAAGAAAGTAAACAATTCTCTAATAAAAGCATTAGCAATTTACCAAGACAAAAATTCAACATGGCGAGCAGATATGGAAGATACATTCATTGTGCTTGATAATTATGGAAATAGGTCAGATACATGCTTTTGGGGATTATTTGATGGATATCATGGTGTGTTTGCTGCTGAGACAGTTTCAGCAGAGTTTCCACTTTTATTTCTTGATCAATTGTCTCAGACTGATTCCTCCTACGAAGTGAGTGAAAATGAGCAACAAATCTTAGATTCTTTTGTCACGGTAATCAAGGGAAATTACAGGGATCAGGAGAAGGTTTTCTCTGGTAAAATAGACTATAAGAAGACCACCAAGCCAAACACTTATGAATGGATTCATAAAGCATATGCCATGTCCTTTTGGAGAATGGACAGGCTTTTACGACTTGGAAGGAATGAAGTTTCCAAAGTTCGCTGGAGTAGCTGTACAGCTGTTACCTGTTTAGTGGAAAGAATCAGCAATGAAAAGAGCATCAAGGAGCAAGAGGAAGCTATTATGCTTGAAAACAATGGTAATAATTCAGAAAACCCATCCAAAAGCAGTGCCGGAATACTTCATGTTGCTAACATTGGTATGTAAATTATTGACTTATGGAATTGTCTGTATTTTTTTGGATGCTCTCTCTGCCTCCCTCCAATTACAATAGAAAAAAAGAAGGCAATTTTAAGATGGAAAGAGGCACAGGCACTATGGGATAGCTACCCATAGTATATCACATTGAAAATCAATGGTAGCCATCCTACTGGGGATGTGCTACCTTGAACTATGTCGAATTCTTGCACACGGTAGGGTGATAATAGTCAACCTTAACAAATTCAATCTCATCTCGCAGTGTAGACTTGGCCTTTCTCCAGACTTCTCCATTTTAAGTTTGGTGAAAACTTAAGCCGCACATAGGTCAAACTTAAGTAGAGACACATACACCACACCTAAACTAGGGAATTCTACTCTCCCATTCCCATCATCTACCCCAAGTAAACATTGTCATTAATAGGAACTCAGCTGCATGGATGAAGACAAGGGTCTCACTGCTTCTAGTGTTTTTAATATTGTCAGGTGAAACCTGCAAAGTATTTTCTTCCTCTTTTATTCTGTCGTCACATGCCAAGGACAACTAGTTTTACCAATCTCTTTAAATAGAATGGTCAGGGGTTATTTCTGCAGGTTCTCCTCCCCACCCCCTTTGGGAGTATTCTAGGTGAAAGATCTGCTCAGAACGGATTCTGTTTTCAACAGAATCCTGGTTTTATGTTGCCATAGCTACAGTAGTCACAAATACTCTATTTACAATTTACCAACACATTACCACCACTGTTAACCACAGTTCATATGCACAATAGTAGACCTAGTCTAGACAAGGTGTGACTTTGTGTGACTTTTGTAACCACCAGCAGGTGGATTTGAACCTGGGACCTGTGAAGCTTAGTATAGGAGCCTCTTCCCTCTGGGCTGAAAACCAGCTAATGTTCAGCCCATGCTCTAGAGTAGTGTTTCCCAAATGGTGCTCCGCGGAACCCTGGGGTTCCGCGAAGCGAACGTAAGGGTTCTGCAAGAACCTGAGGACCCCCCTCGCCCCGCCCATAAAGAGACAGAGGAGCCCAGCGCGCAAAGACGCTGGCTCCTTCCCCGCTCCCCTTTCAGACATCTCCCGTGTCCCCCGCTGCTGCTCTGCTTTTACCACCGGACCTAGCAGCAGCAACAGCTGCTTGTCCCGCTTCTGCCCGATCAA